GCACCCGCGCCGACCAGTTCTTTGGTTTCAAGAGTGACGTTCAGTAAGACTTTCTCATTACGAACTTAACCATTTTTCAGCACTAAAGATGGTAGCACAGTTGATCTATGTTACTCCTTACGGTATGTTTTTCCATAAGTAAAAAGCTTCTTGAAATTGTTCTCTAATAGCACATTCCATCAGTCCTAATATTGAGCCATCTTATATGTAAAACCTAGTTCATTCATGGATAGTGGATTTTAAACCATCTTGTCATTTTGTTGAAGTTAACTACTCCTTGGTAAAAAAAATATTATTGCAACTTCATTATCTGCCATTTCAATACCCTAAAGAACACAAGCACATTAACTGGCCGAATGAATGCAATATGTAACGGGACAAACATTTGCTACCTCTGGAGACCTATTTTAACGTTGTTCTCAAATAGTTGCGTATGAACACATTCATGTCCTAGTTGTGTCTCATCAAATGTTCATTGATTACTTTTAATGTATTGATTAATAAGTAGAGTATTGACTGAGTTCATTTATCAACACCTATTTCTGAACAAAGTTGTCGAGATTATTTTGTAATTCTAGTTCGTCGGTGTCCATGATAGTACCTGTACAGATAAATAAATCCCCAAAATAAACTCCTGTAAGTCTCAAACAGTGGTGCTGATTTTATTAGTTTTGCTGAACACACACTATCCTTTAGTGAAGCTCATCATTTTGACATCAATTTGACTGCATGGTGTCGTCAACGGGCCCACCGCTTTGGTGGCCCCTATTCTGACTACAGATCAGAAGATCGCGTGTTCTAATCACGGGCTCACCACTTTAGTGGGTTTAGATCTGATTCTAGTTAAATCATATGGATATTATTGAAATATACATGTCGTCAGTCCTCGAACAAAATCATTAACCTAACTCATATTAGTGAATAACGGTTCTTATGAAATAATCTCCTGGTTGCCGCGACATGGCCAATCTGTGTGGAATGTGATGTGACTTCGACGTAAAATCGGAGTTACATCATAATGAGTCAAATGCAATACATCACATTTATCAGTTTTATAGAAAACAAAGCACGTTATTACTGATCACAGACCTGAGAAAACAGATTTTGTGGTTCACTGTTGCGAAGCGAAATATTAACACTTTGATACTTTACTAAATAGACAAGCATGTCTTTACAACTTTCAGCTTTTAAACCGTAAAACTTCTGTCTCGTGAATCACAAATACGAATGCTACAAACATTATCTACACAGCACGACTATATAATGAATTTATAAGTTGCAGAACAACATGGTATGAAGGGCGGCTAATACGTCAACTCGCATAAATCAATGTGCTAATAAATCGTTTGATCATCGTCTTATCATTTAAATAGTCCTCGTGATGCCAAATAACATGTGAACTCTCACAGTTCTTGTTGAACTAATACTCTGTTTGACTGTCAATTCACCAGAACATCATCTCAAACTAATAGTTCAATATAGCTTCAGCTATTATCAATTACTATTATGTTTGATGGTCTCACGGGACTTCACTGTAAAGAATTTACCGACTGAGTCCTAAAGATTGATGTTATGAACTTTACTGTAGAATTTCCACCACGAGTTGTTGAAACATAACTGTAGATAGCCAGTTCTAAACAAGAAAATATTGTACAAATCAGATTGACACAGAGTTTTTCATATGTTCACCGATATATAAATCTTTAGTAAAAATCGACACTGGAGTTATTAGTATTCATTTAACTGTTGAGAAGATGACTCTGGCCGGAGATAGAGGATGATTGCAAATGGTAAACAACCTAAATTAGAGCTGGTTAAAAGTGGTTATCCATCATTTTTGTCCACTAATGATTTCTCCTTTTCGTTAATTATTCTTTGGGGATGATGTCAAAATCTGAAGGGAAATAAATAACAGTGAGGTTAACATGAATTAACATGTCCTATCTTTTTGTTCCTCTTATAACTGGTCATTTCAAGGTTTCAAAACCGCGATCTTACAAACACGGACGGAGGTTACATTTTGCTCATCGAGTGCTCAGAGACTGAGAAGTTCATTACCGGAACAAATGGCATCAGGCCTATCAATGAACACTTTCATGAAGAAGCTGTATCTCCATTGAAAAACAAGCCGTAAAAATGGGCATAAGCAAACCTACTTGCTATCTCCATAAATAAAGACTGAAATCTAAACTGGTAAAAGCATTCGTATCACATCAAAACTTGTCAATTATCTTAACTGCTCTCAGAATCGTGTTTACCTAGATAAAGGATTTAGTTACAACAGTAGTAGATTAGTGAAAGAAAACATAGGTGAGAACAACCGATTATATTTATCATAAGTTACAGAGTTACCTGATAGAATAAAAAACACCAACACTTCATTTGCAAAATGTTCATCAACTGTCTCACACTTCATTGTTCCTGTATTGCTTTCTGTTCTAATTCTTCCCTCCTCGATCTTTTCAAACTTCTGCTGCCAGACCTTCTATTCCTGACTGAAGTTATGTGACCCTTATGTCGACATGATTATCACACAACACAGTAGCAGTTCTCTAGATATGCACACCTCAGAAACAGCCCTCGTATTATCTACTAAACCCCCACCTCTTTTTCGTAGTCTTGTAGTGGCATTGGACCATAACCACACAATCTTCAAAGCTGAACACAAGAGTACTCAGAAAATAGATATTCAAAATTTAACACGGAGAAATACCTAACAATGGAGAATGCGCGAACAATGAATTGAACGGACTGGGGTTGATCGAGTGGCATGGCTCGGCCATGCGGGCGTGGTCTCTGCTGAATTTTACCTTATATCTTCTATTCATATTAAATATATTGTTCTTTCTCTAGCCTAACCTTGTTCTACATCATGTATTGGTAATTGATACGATACAGTGAGTTGGTGTAGTCGATTGTGTGATTTCCACGTAAGATCTTATAGATTAGGCAGTTATATCATGACAAATCTATAAATTTAGGATTAGGTCTATTATTAGAGCAGTACTAATATCATAGTAGACCATAGTTCTACAGTCTCGTGCACTCATACTTTATCTCTGTTTGAACAAATACCGCATTCTTTTGACGTACCTTGAAAATCGTCTTGAAAAGAACTATTGGATGGTAAGGAATCCTTCAATGAAAAGTGACTACAGGAATTTCGCATAGTGGCCCCACTGATGATACGTAAAATATCAAAGCATGACATAACACCCCTAAATTCTAGTCAATGAGGATAAAATCGAATCAAGGAGTGATAATAGCCAACTATTCGTAGGATCGCAAAATCAATATTCTCACCGTAATTAAGTGTAAAGCGACCATATTATAGGCTCATCACAAATTTTAAGTGGATCAACCTTTTTACAGATTCCGACTAAACGATATTACTAAGCCTTCGTAATTTACTGATAGTACGCAGAGATTCAAACGTCAAAGTTGGTCTGTTGGATGGTCATGATGTTAAGTACCTCAGTTATGTCATTATTTGATAAAATACCAATAAGATTTGATAACCACATCCTATCGTCGCTTGTTTGCATCCACTATGGCTTATTCAAAATCTCCATTCCCAACTAATTAATGAAAACACTGGAAATCAGTTCGAGGTTTTTCTTGAAGCCTGTGGATTTCAAAGCTGGAGGACATTCAAAACCTACTGGCATCTGGTCATGAACTTCTGCAAGAGGCTCCTCATATTTTCTGAAATTTAACGGCCCTCTTTTTCGACGCCAATGAAATCGTTTGGTGGCGAATGTTATCGAAATATACATGCCTCCAATCATCGTATACAAACATTAATTTTATCACGTTGATGAATAACGGAATGAAATCAAATCAAATACGTATGTTTCGTATAATAACTGATCTGGACAGACGATCGGGGGAACGAGGCGAAGGAAGTGAAGAGGGAGTAGCGAGATGAAACGAAATGATGATCAGTGGAGAAGGTGATTGAATCAATTTCATTCAACCAAACGTTACTCAATATTTATAGTCAGACTAAAAATAAGTTACCGACGCGTGGCGAGTAGGGTAAGCAGTTAACCTAGACGCAATCATATGAAAAAGTCAGGGTTAATAAGTGAGTATGCGATAAGGTCAAAATGTGACTTTACGGAAATGGAGAAAAACTGGTCTGTCCAGAAGCTAAAATTACATGTGTGGGTTTGATACAGCGCCAACCATTACAAGATATTTGAATGACTAATGTCAATGTTAGACACCGGATGCTAGAGTAAATGGCGAGTTCACTGCAAACTTTTTGAATCTTCATCAACATAGGTTGTTGGATCATGAAGCAGACCACTAATAACCACCGTATTCGGAGGACATGGAGATATTTTAGAAGACAGCTTATCTAACATTTGAAACGTTTGATCTCAAAACATAAAAACTTAATGAATTAGAAGCAAAAGTGAATGATACTGTTAAGTCATTTAATGCTTTTTCTGTTGTAGCGGAGCATACAGTTACCGAAATATGTTTTAAAGGATATCAAAGTCCGTTTGGACTTATTGCCACCTCACCCATCCATATTACAGAATACAAAACAGTAATATATGTTCAGCAAGTTACTGTGAAATAGTGGCTTTTACAATTATTCGGATGACATAAGATAATGAACGATCTTCCTCATGACATAGAAATAGCCTCATATAAAGAATTGGATCATCAGCCTCGACCTATAGAGTTTGATCCCCTTGTCGTATCGCAGGACGGGGGGTTACCTTGTACTGCCATTTCATATCCTTAATTGTGATTCGGGGGTTGATATGTCTGATTTTTTTGCTCCCTCCAGCACTAATGATCTCCGAGGTCATAGCAAGATGGTTCACAAACCGGAATGCCTTACCCGAATCAGCCACAGCAGTGAATATTTTCAGTGAGAAGATGGGCCTTCACTCGAAGGCAATCTATCAGGATTAACATGTGTTCACCAACATACTCTCCTTATTACTGAAGACTGATCTTTAACTGCGCTCTCAAATGATGAAATGTGTGGCGCGTTTTCATACTTTCCAACAAGTTTACACTCATTCATAAAGGTTAGCATTGTGTTTAAAGTTTATTTCACTGTAAACAGGAAGAACTCCGTTTTTTCATAAAGTTTTGCTTAATAACTGGAATAGTTAGTTTGTTTGAAAACATTTCTTGTACTATTCGACTTTCAGGGTTTGTTCTTATTATGATGATCTGAACGAGCGATGCATTCTCATGAAAACAGGAATAAAACCGCTTAAACCATACTTTTATTCCAACTTTTGAAAACAAAATATGCTAGTTTTATTAAATTATGGATCGAGAAAACCGTTTATGTTGGTTTATAATGTCAATTGACGATGCCAAACTAAATGTTTCAGTCATTTTTGTGCAAGTTTTTAACCGTAGTCTGCAGCATTTCAAGGGAAAAATGTAAGCATAACCGGTGAGGTCGATGTCATTTGGGTACTACCATAGGCTCGAAGTCGAGCTTGGTTAATACAAAACTGATAATTTCCAGTATATGTTGTTCCTAAAACTACAAGTTATTCAAAATGACGTCATTTAACTCAACAGGGTTGCACCCATTTTAGTTCAAAAATTAAAACGCTCAAGTTATGTAGAATTATATTTATGTCTCTTTTATTTGAGTTTGAGACTAGGCAGATTAAACATATACAAATGCATAAACTTGAAATCGGTCACTCACTCCACTTTTCAGATATAGAATATGTCTTAGTATCTTTCTTATTTACAGAATTCCACTCATGGTTTGCGGTTAGTGAATGCTACTTAAGTGGCTCTGAAAGGAAATCTTAAACAGGTGTTTGACATGGAAACATATGAACAAGTAAAACGATATCTAGACTATCTGCTGCCAAGACAAAAGCAGGTTACCTGATCTATTGTTTCCATTGATGAAGACTGGTTCATTCGTAGCTCTTGATATATCCCAAGTGTGAATGATCACGTTCCTTTATCTTTGTTTGCTCACAATATTAAATTTTTGTTTTAGAGAGTACCTTTAAAAAAGAAATTTGGTTCTCTTGATACGCTCAGCCATTAATTCAAAAAGTTTTAGAATATCGAGGGTGTAATGAATATCCCAGGATATTTGAATTTAATACCGACTGTTTTATGCTAAAAAGTTATCTTATCTACTATACTTGATCTTTCTAACTTCCCGAATTAACTGGGCTTGAAACCAACCCCAGTTTCCTGAACATATGATGTCATATCATTTCCGACACAATTTACTCACCACACGAGAACCTTATGCACTGTGGAATAAATTCTGCAATGAAAATACATGAGAAACTCCATATCGGTACACGAAAAATAAACAGTTGTAAGCCCATCACCTGTTCCAATTTGCGAATAACAAAGTGTAGTTATCATAGAACATTTTGGGTCGTTAGTAACGTTAATCAAAGCATGAGTTAGCATCAATCAAAGTATCTATGGTAGTGACTAATATCACAAGCTGCAAAATTAGTCTATTTGGTAGCTCTCCAGATATAAGCGTTAATGACTAAAGAAATCCGGCCACGGGTGTAAAACTTCCCTTTGTGTTTAAAGAACTATATCTTTTTCTGTATAGAATAAGATTTCTATTGAACTACATAAACGAAGGCATAATGGGCATCAATGTACTGTGTAACGCACCTTATAAAGACGAATGTATTTTAGGCATTTTAAGTATTTGACCATGTGTCTCTTCGAAACATCACGCAAGTGTGATGGAACAGTTGTGTCAGCAATACCTAAAGTAAAAAATTGGAATCATCAATTGCTCAATAGGACTTACATTCTTATGGACTCAAATGGTTTTAATATCTGTTTTTACACTGAATTCACAAAATCACAAATTTTGGTAAGTAGCCTTTTTCCCAATATACAACTGGCAGCTCAGTTCTGGTGCTTAATGATGATATGTTTCATCTTTTTATGTCATGCGTACAAATCATTCACTAAGGTGGACTCTTTCACACAAATTGAAACAAGACATTCCAAAAGGATTTCACTACATAGAAAAGATTGTCATTCTTGATAGCCATTACGCTCTTATACAAACTAGACATTTAAGACAGAAGCAACAATACTTGCAGTAATCTTATCAACTGATAAGTTTTGCGCATTTTGCACTGCGACCTACGGTATACTAGTTGAACTTATTGTTTCACAATGAACGACAATTCACAGACCTTATATATTTGTTTCCCCGCTACAAAATTATTCTTACTTTACCACTTCCTAATTGTGTATTAATTGCTGGACCATACACTCACTGTACTCAAAAACATCTTGTTTAACTGATTAGTACTTGAATATTATCTAAAGTTCATCATCTAGTTTTATTTCTATATCAGTGAGGTAATTCGAAGACCGGTAGTATTTCTCCGTTGGATTATACTAGCTATGATCCCACCAAAACAATGTCACACTTTAGTTTGATTCCAACGTTATGTTTTCTAAGTAACCTGGTATAAAAAACTTTGACGACATAAGACTCACATAGTTAGAAAACGATAAGTTTGAACGTTTTTGACTTACGAATATATTAGTTCAAATATTTCATCCATGAGTATCGTTGATACAGTGTATCATTAAACTGAGTGCATGAAATAACTTTGATATACACCACAAAATTGTGGAGACAACAGTTCAACATGCACATGGTTAGAATATAGTATTTTAGAAGAGGGTTACTACATTCTTTGATTTGGCGTTTTTTTCGATAATTTCATCTTGATTTGACGTGGTGTGGTAACCTTAACTGACCTACATATATACCAGATTTAATGCTCCGTATGACTGACTAATTTGTTCAACTGACCGCATAAGTTTGAGAAAACCTGTTTTAATTACTATTCTTTGTTCTGCAGCATAACTTAATCTTCATGTATTAAAATCATAATTCATAGGCCTTCTTTGATTTATTACCGGAAGTTTATACATGTACATAAATAAAGTGCTTCTGCAATATAAAGTTGTAATGGATATGTCAATATTTAATAATTATTTTCACTTTGCCTGATGTTTTCTAACTTTAACATCGACCAATGTCAAGTATGTTTTGGTATTAGACGTTTTTGAAAAGGCAGAATACCAAAGGTTAACAAACTTGACATAACGAATCGTTTAAAATATCATTATCCTATAATAATGCGTCAATACGATAATGGGGCTAGTCACATCATATCAGAATCAGAATTCATGACCCAGAATAGAGAACCAGAGTACATGCTAGGTGATATTATATTCAGTACAATTACAGACAAGCACTCACGGTGAGACCAGGGTAGAAATCGATGACAGGAATAAAAATAACATATTTGGCAGTCAGTAGGCTAAGAACATGTTTGTCGACGCTCAGTAAATAATGACATTTTAATTTCACCATAACATACTAGAATCAATAGCGATATATGCACAATTAAATAGAACTAAAATATGTTAGAGATAAGTGATCGGTTTCAGAATCTCTCATGATTGCATTTTTACGACTTGTGAGTAAATACACGTCTGTTTGTTTTACTTCCTTAAATCTTACATGATACTGAAGTACATTAAATAGAATACCGATGACGCAAAACATAGTTTATCGTAAAAAATCATTGTATATCATGGATTACCAAATTGAGGATCACAATCGTTAATTTTTTAACAGTTTTTACACGCCCCAAAACGGTTGTTTTTAATAAAATAACTCAGATCACTCCTGAGACATATCCTTGTCAGTACGTTTTACACATAAAATGTCATTAAATAACCGTAAAATCCTCAACACAATAATTCAAATCTACGGTCATATCCATCTGTTGTGCTTTGCATAATGAATTAACTTTCTGAGGTTTTCACTGGGTTAAACGATATAGAAATATCTTGAACAGGATTTCTACATACCAATTCACTGTTGTCACATCCGCATGTTGAAATTTGTTAAATTTCTTGTTTATGAACTAAAGACTTGTCTCAAGGAAAATTAGGTCACTAGTGATATAACGTTTACGATAACACTGCAGGATCATCTATGGATGTCTAACGTACGCGTAACCTGTAATTTTTAATGATTTTCTTTCAGTGGTTTATCAAGTCACCTAATTATTCACTATGATAAATGAACGATTGACAGTTTAGAAATATATATATTCATTTTAACTGCAATATATGATACTCGGTTTGTCAAACATGAACACCAGTATGAACTGACTTAAATCGCCACACATTATAACAATACACTAAAAAGGAGTCAAAGTAATGAAATAACGATATCCCTGTTACCAAAAACTAAAAAGACATGTTACGTAAAAAATTCTAATGCAAAAAGTGATAAAAAAATTCAAGTTTTATGCAAAGATGAGCACTGAATGCACTTGCACTAGAGAGATCAGTTTGGAGTTACATTATAGAAAGACTTTAATTAAAGAATGTGATAATTTCATGAATCCAAACCAAGATGTTTATGTATATTATATATCTTTTCCCATCCGTTGACGGCTTCATAGATTGATGTTTACCACTTATACTGACAGATATAAGTAGTATGTAACACCAATCGCAAGTGGATTGGCTACCAGCTGGATATTGTATTAAAGAGAACAGGTAGAGTAACGGGGAACAGTTGTAGTAACAACAGAAGTGGAAGAATCGTGAAGCATGTAAAGGACAACTGATGGAAGATGTTCAAATAAAGTATTGAATACATGGTTTTCATATTTCACCAAGCCACTATGTAGTATTTCTTGAAATAGTAAGTTACTTTGCCTCACTAGAGTTTTCATTTGTTACAGTAGGAATTATTTTAGTCCCTTGAGGTGTACATTTAGATGATAGCTAGTTATATTACTAAACATATTTTGAAATTAATTCATATAGTTAGCTAACATATGCACTTAGCAAAAACATGCACAACAAAAGATTAATACTACTTAGTCTACTTATTTTGAAGAAACTATCAAGTATTTCTTAGTAAACTATATACCTAATTTAATAATTCTTCTTAAGATATATGATTTAAAAAAACTATAACTACAATAACTCGATTATATTTAAAACGATGTTTTGTTTTTTTTCATTTTCGCTAAGATGAGAATTTAAAAACAATATTCTTTATTTCAATCAAGTTTTTATAAGAGATAAAAGGTATTTACGAGTAAAAGAGCAAAACACGAACAAAATATCTACTGCAGAAAGCTCTTTAGTTAGACCGTCAGTTAAATTTTTAAAAAATTTTCTGTCACAATTGTAATATCGTTCATAGATTATTTATGAACTTGATGTTGATTTTACTAACACAATTTTGATTTCAGTGGTGTGGCAAAACACAAATAAGATAATAAACATTATGCTTGTTGTTTTGTTAAGAGCATCATGAACTAACTTTTGTTTTGTGATTGTCTCTAATAATGTGGACTAGTGAATAATTTTTTAAAGTGATGTATACTAAGTACACCTCACTGACTATTGACTGATTGTTTGTACTCAAGAGCAGTGTTATTCAGTGCCGAATTCACACCTTAATTATATCAAGAATCAACTCTAGAATACAGTATAACAAGTAGTAAAGTGGATATAGGCAAATTGATTTTTGTGGTTATAATGTTGTTATTGACTCTGAAATGGTTCTTATTCACTGGGCACCTGATCTCTAGCGATTATCAATCCCACAAGTCCGATTACCAATATGACCCCATTAATTTTGGTTGATAAATTTTACAGTTGGCTAAAATCAAGTTAATCGCTGAAATATTCCAATCATATTAAAATACACATAACTGTGTTTTAAAATCAAGTTCTTAACTTCATAGACATCTAACAAGACTCCTAAGATTCCATTACTTAAAAATTTTATACCATATTTCAGCTAAAAATATTGTTAAATACTAAAGGTTTCGGTTGATGTACTCATCACAATTACACTCGATCACAGCAAATCTCAACTCACATTTACTGTCACCCGATCATTATTTGATATTCAAGTATTTATAATTTACATTTCGTGGGATATTACTAACTACATTAGTCAACAAACCTTGGCTTACCCGAGCGAAATCGGACCCATACCTTGATGGTGTGCGAGAAATAGCGAAATTGTGTCCTATAAATGAATATGAGCGGTCGATGGTGATTAGCTTTATCTACTACCCAAACATAGTTTAGTATTAATCGGTTTTCTACTCGTTCCAGATACACGAACCCATCTATGTCGATTTGTATACTATGGATTAAATGAGCTGGTTAAATCTGTCTGTTCCATGTTTGCATGCAATATGTGCTTGTTTGATGTGTGCCTCTTATGTGGACAGTTATAAGTAATATGTAGTAGGAACAGGAAGTATAATGCTCATCAATAAAAGATTGAGATAAAGAGAAGAAGGAAGGAAACAGAAAGCAATCGGAGTGACAACGAGATTGAAAGAATGATATGACAACTTAAGGAAGATGTTCAGATTAAGTGTTTGATGTATAATTTTCATATTTTACTAAAGCACAAGCGGAACAGCATGTATAAAAATATGGGATTAGAGAACATACTATCTTCCTAAATACTAATATCTACGCCTAAATGTATGCCACAGATTGCATTGGTCCTGGAAGAGTGTATTGCAGATACACATGTAACGCGCATTTTATAACGTAAAGAGCTGAGAGTTCATCTTGCCTCTCATTAAGGGCAGATTTAAAATAGGGGTGTGAAGAGCATCTTACCTTCTCACTCATGACGTTTATGTTCTCGCGTATGGGAGACAATGCATAGGTTGATTCGACTGGTATATTTCAGGTTTGTATGAAATATCTACTTGCTAAAACAAAGAGCTAAGTAACACCTTACCTACTCAGAAGTAGCAAATCATGATAATCTATCCCTCGGGTTTCATCGGTACACGGTTTTTCACTAAAGCCATTTATTCTATCACAGATATGTGCATATCATAAGTAACTAAAATCTTATTCACAAGAACCAATCGACTATTCCAAAAGATTATCAACATCTATAGCTGGACCGGGCTTTAGGGGATATCTTGGCTTAGGAATTTAATTATCACTTTGTGATAGTTTTCTTATTAAAACTATAGCGATATTCATGTGTCTTGACCACGGTTATTATCTAAAAACAAAGAGTATGTATAAATCCCTGATATGTACAGTTTCTTCAAAATTCATTAATCTAAGCTGTAAATTCTATTGTCATAATAGTACAGTATTTTATATTTAGAGTTGATTCCAGGGTGTATTTATTGGAAGATATAAAAACAAGACGTTTCCAACAAATATATAAGTGGCAGGTAATATATCAAAGATTAAACAACTTTCAGCCCCGTCAAACTTAATCTCCGTGTAAAACTTTCAAAATGCTTGGTTTATGAATTGCTTTAATCCATACTGAGAAATGTAGTTACACTAATGATCTATTGTAGTTTAACCCAGTGATGAGTCAATATTTAGCAGTTTGAACACGAAACGACTGTATATTTACTCATTTTTATCGGATAGTCATCTCTTTTCATCTGATTTATTGAGATAAACTTGAATTGAGGTAAAGACTTTGGCAAATTTATAGTCGATAATGGTAAATATATTTATTCACTCAAGCGTATCCAATATGTTGGTTACGTTTGCACTACATTATGAAAGTAAATCACTTAATACTCATTTAAGATGTTTTTCTATTTTCAGGTCTATTTTTTGGGCGATTATTTTATTTTCCTAACATTAGAAAGTTCACCATTCATATCGTCAGAAAACTGAATTGCACCTGTCACGTTATTTCGTATACAAGGTGATCGTCAGGTAATTGTGAACTCAGTGCATAACTTAGTATTCATAGCAAAAGTTTACATTTATTCATTGATTTGAAGAACGATTGGTTCACGAATGAGTGAGTTCTAGTGTAAATATATTTACGTTGATTAAATACATTGTGTAATATTTGATTTTCTTTCCGGTGATTAGAAAATTGTTTTGAAATCATTTATATCAAATTTCGTAATCACAGTAAAACCAACTTACCAAAATGGTATTTGGTCTTAAATTACTCATGGTCACACCATTCGGAAAACCAATGGGATAATTTTTAGTAACTTTGTTTACTTGTATATCAATTATACTGAAACTCTCGCGGTCTTGTTTTTCTTATGGGCAATTTATCAGTCAATTAGATGATGTACCCTGTATACTTTACTTGAACCATAGAAGTTATAAAACATGAAATCTTATATATAACGTTTACCAGGAATCATTAAAGATTTTGCTATTTTTCAATATACAATGCTTTGGCTAAAGGTAAATTATAACTCATTATCAAAATACAAACTGTTGTTTAAAAAAATAGGTATCTTATTTGTTTGGTAAGAATATTTCATCTCCAAAATACGTAGTATGATCTGTTTTGAAAATACTTTATTATAGAGTCATAGCGGCTATTAATTAGTAAATTATTACCTTAACAAAGGTATGTTACTATGCGTCAGACCTGTAAACTACTCTTCTGACAAAATTATGAGCTGACGTATGAAGTTATCTTGGTAAATGTTCAAAGGTTTACTTCAGTTTGTCACAGAAATATAATTGTCTGAAAAGTACAAAGAAATCATTTAAGATAGATATCCATATTAAAATCGCATTCGACAACATCCCTAATCAATAATTACAGAATTTCAATCACTCTTTTATGTATGAAGCATACTTTGGTATGTAAATTTTGAGTACTATGTCAACAGAAATTCACAGCGAATTTGAATTCAGACTTGAAAATTCAACATGCCACGGTTTATCTCAAATAACATTATTTTTACAAGTCACAAATCAGAATTAACTAAAACAATCTTATAGTCAATATGTCAAAAACACCAATAATAGGATTAGCACATTAAAAGCTTCTTGAGTTATAATATATGTTCCTTCAAATGAATATTTTGAGTTGCCTACTTTTAATAACCAAATCTTCCCGCTTGCCTTGTCCTTTCTCAATCTGATTGTCATGGACTAAAATTAATAACATTCTGGTTGAAATGAATATTTAATCATAACGTTGTTTTGAAAAGCGTAACCTGAATATATAGAAGTACTTCTCTATAGATACCCTTAGCCAATCAATATGGTTAATCTAGAGGATGATAACTGGAAAAAATTGTAAATCTGATCAAACAGATAGATAAATAAAAAAATTATAGTTAGAGTTAGCCACAAGTTATATACAGTGGGAAACGTTTTGCAGATCCATTAGTTTAGATTTACTAAATACAAGTTCAGTGCTACACTTCAAAAGCATAGGGGCTTCAACAAGTACTTTTTTTTATTTTCTTAAACGATGAATGATATTATCAAGCATAAACTGACAAAAAAACATTTTGCGCGCATGTAATCACTAATTAATATCCCTTAAATAAACTGAAGTATTAATTTTATTCGAGATGGGTTTTTCGTTCATTGTGAGCTGATGAGAAACATCAAGGTTGAAAACAACAGGCACAGTTGAAATAACGAAAGAAATCGATTTTATCACTGTGGAATTATAAATAGAACTCAGTGAAGAAAGTTTTGTCAGGATGGGAATTTGTGGAGATTGTAGTAATTTTAATAGTTGAATTCATTAGTCGATCTAAGCTAGGCCACTGTTAAAAGCCTAGAAACACTGAACGGCCGTTTTTTCCTAATAATGGGTGTGGATGCGCACTGTCACATACTAGGGTGAATGCTTCCAAGTTTTGAATGGTGGTATAGCTTGGATTGGATCGTGAATTCAAAACCCCACACTGGTAATAATCATGTGCTCACTAGTAACTAGCTTTAACATCGATTTCATGGAGATCTAGTAAGAAGCTGTGAACAGTGGAGTACAATCCGTGTCATTTCTTAGACATTTATCCACCTCAGACAGTGGATGAATGGTTGCGCAAGGTCATCGATCGATAGAAGTTAGGCATTAACAGCGTTGGATGCCGGCTTAATGGTTATGAGGTTAGGCGTTGGTGTCCAGGATCGTGAATGCGCACTGCTGAAAAATTCAATACTAGGACGAAACAACCGTCCAGTACTTCCAAATTTTTAGTGGTGGTCTAGCTTTGATCGACTCATGAATTCAACAATAAAACTATTAGTATTGAAAATACTGCTGTTTAATGTTTATACAAACTACCTTATGGGTCAAATGAAATTTAATGAGATTAATAATCAGAAAAATAGTGTTTAAAGAGAAAGTTATCAATAGATTTTTTACTGACGACTTGTTGAAGTTCTTCTTATAAAAGCCTAGAAATGCAAGGAATGAGTAGTTCTTCATTGATAAAAACAGGACTAAAAAAGTATAAATAATAAAACTAATTCTGTCTTTGGGAAAATTAGACATATGCCTAAATGCCTAAAACATTTGACGTTTTTATTATCAATATTCAGTTTCAAAACGCCAATCATCTGCTAAGATCTATCCAGATTTGAGTAATATCACTATTAATCATCAACCACAAAAGTTGTGACTCGAAGATGTGCACACAAAACTGTAATTAGCAAATAAGTTACCGTGTAAAAAAGTTTACTTATTTTAGGCATTTCTTCAAATTATATGAAACTAATAATAATGTTTTTGAATGACACTTAATATTAATTACTGAAAAATAACATCAAACTAATTATAGTACTAGAAATAGCACTTTTTAGATTTTATCCTTCAAAATATTGGCAATGTTAACTAAAGAAAACAGTAAATATAATTCATTTCAAGGATGAACTTTAATAGTCTCAATGAACGGAAATGTTGCTAATTAACCATTATGTCTATAATTAATTAAATAAGTTCTATGTGACTCAAACCCATTTTTGCATGAATTCTAGAAAAGGAATAATTATCTTACCAGTAAAAAGGTAGCTTTCTATCTCTATGTTCAGTGAAATCAAATTAAAGTTTGCATCAAAGCATTAGTTTTTGCAAAACTACATTCTAATATAAACATCACCTACTGTGATTGTTATTGTTGTCGTCAATTTTGTTTTCTCTAGCATAATCTAGAAAATTATTGATGTTTCGGGTTGTCGATATAGTTTATTTTAATCAGTTTCTTTCTCTATGTTATCAAATTTGATCTTTACGAAATACATATGTTGTTAAGGATAATATATGTACTCTTTATTTAAACGAAAATTTTGTCTCAATTCCGCTGGAATAACTGATACGATATTTCTGAAAGCAGATGGCCTAAAACTGTCAGACAAATGAGAACCATCATTGGTAATTCCGGTTAAATATGTTAACCTATCTTTGGAATCTGTTTTCAAATAATTACATAAATCTTTTGTTACTTCATTTTTTCAATGAAATCGAAGTTAATAATCCTAGATTTCTTAACGGAAAATGGGAATTTGCCAACTTAACAGAAATAGAATTATGGAATACTTTCATGCTTTATTTAGATTTTAAACATGATAAGATTTCCTTTCATTACTGTTGATACTTATACTTGTTCAAATATAACGCCATAGTAAACCATCTGTTAGTCAACATAAATCTTTAAAAAACTAATAACGAAAAAGACTTGTATCCACTTAAAAGATCATTATAACCCATTATTCGGTTATTGTTTTATTGATTAACTAATCGTTAGAACTACTACAATATTACGGTTTATGTTATTTTACTTATGTATAACATGGTTTAGAAATGGAACGAAATAAAAGTGGTGAAAATTAGCGTCACAACCAATAATGCATTACATATTTCTGAAATCATTAGAGTCGAACCAACAGGTCAAAACTTATCAGTGTAGGGTCGTGGAGATTGTAGAGTTTTAATGGAGATAAGGAACCGATCAATTTTAGAACCCCAGTGAAAACCTGGAAGAACTTGACTGCTGTTTTGTCATAGCACGGGACTACTCAGTAGTGCGCATCCACGAAGCGGGCTCAGTTTCTAGGGTTTAGTCGTTCGCACGCAAGACCGAAGATTCCGGGTTCAAGTTCTGTATGCGAGATCGTGAATTTGCACAGATGGAGAGTACTACAATGAGACGAAACGACCGTCCAGTACTTTCAGGTTTTAATGAAGGTCTGATCGTTTCGTGATCTCAATTAAAAGTTGTTGAAATTTAATTTGCAAATCAAGGTATTGAAGCCAAGAATTCGTAGACTAGGTAAACCTTCTGTACTGAATCTGACTACTTCATATATTCAAATATATTTTACCCACTAATATTTTGTGCGAAAACGTCTGGTCTTCTTTGAAACAGTCAATATTCTTTCCCACCAAGATGGGATTGGAAATAAAAATAAAAGCTTGTAAAATATTTGCAACTCTTTTTGTCGCCCATAGTAAATTTAGTTTTTGGTTAGTAACTAAGACCGTGTTATCATGACCCAGAAGACAGCTCTTATCGCATGTAAATAATCTTCAAAATTTGCCCTTACTTTCTTCTCTTGCAAAATGGAGATGCTTGTCATTTTACTTCACAGAGTTACCTATGATCAAATTGTAGACCAGCAACTACTGTTCAGCTTCGCAAACTATCACTGTATGGTGTTACATAACAGATCATTTCCGGTATGATAAAGTATGCATAATACTTTAAAAGTTATGAATTTAATTACGAAAACCCATTTGTATACACACGATCCGTTTTTGTAAATTAACTACGTTTATGTTTTTTTTTCGCAGAAAAGTGAAAAAAGTTCTACCTCCCTTTGATTTCTATTATAATAATGAATGATAAGTGAATTTACCAAAGCAATATACATATGTCGGTGTCTTCTGACAAAGCACAATTCTTTATTTTCAAATAAGAATAATTAAGTAGTGAAACTCGGTTAACAGACATAATTTAGTGTATTCAACTTTGAACAACATCTTATTTTTGAGGGTTAGTGATATGATTGACTGCTCAAACTAAAACA